TGAAATACACTTTTTGATGTAGTACAAGTTGGATTAGGCCATCAACCAACCTCTGATGTGAACAGGGCCCATTTCTGGACCATTCTTCTTCTTCTTTGCTACTTTCAACACGCAATCTTGAAACAATACAAAGAAAAAAAAAAAAGGTCCCCCATTTTATTAACACAATTCCAAGTCAATTTCCCAATAAAGCCCTCACTCTCATCCACCAAATCAAAATATATAAATTAAAATGAAAATATGTTGCGGTTTGGCAACAATCTTTTTTGTCTAAATAAGTATAAAAAGATTTTTAAAAAAAATAAATAAGTCAAAAAGATAAAATATCACATCTAAATTATAATTCTTCTACTTTTTTTTCTCTTTCTTCAAGCATTGTGATTTGAGTAAAAAATAAAAAAATATCAAAATATTTATAATTTCAATACACTTTTTCACACATTTTAAAATATTTTTATATGTACTTGTACATATTTAAATATACTTTTACACAATTTTCGACACTAACAATAATTCTTAAGGTTGTTTTCAACATTTTTCTTGTGATTTTTGTTTTTTAATCTCTTGCCGTGATTGTTTTGATAGATTGAATTAGATGGAATTAGCATTCATAGTCTTGTGATTTATCAATTTATTTAGATTGTATATCCTATCTCATATTTAGATTGGTCAAGAATTATGAGAGTGAAAAAATTAGTTCAAATCTCTCTTTATTCTCTCATTTTGTATTGCACACCCCCTCTTGAAATTCAGTAATCCCTCATATTTAAGTCCAAATGTACTATTAGTCCAAAGCTTTTAAATGTGAAATTATATATTTTATCAGATTATTGGTCCAATCCCAATATCACATCCTCCAAACAAAGCCTACTGCTAGCAGGAGCTGCGGTGCCATCAAACGGCACAGTTTTGACAATTTTTTTTTTTAATTTTTTTTTTTTTTAAACCAAAGATGGAGAGCTATACATTCAGGTAGAGAACAAAACTGAGAGGGTAATTTTTGGTAAAAATTGGGCCGAGCTATTTGATGGACTTTGTGGCCCAAAGTGCCAAGGACTTGGTGAAACGGCCGCAATGTTACTCCGGCCCAAGAGAGGTATAGTTACTGCCATCAAACGGCACAGTTTTGACAATTATTTTTTTTTTTTTTAATTTTTTTTTTTAAACCAAAGATGGAGAGCTATACATTCAGATAGAGCACATAACTAATATTTACTTGTAGATAATATAAAAAAAAAAAATATTTACTTATAATTCTCGATACCAAAATGTGTTTCACAATTTACCCAATTAAGGTATTAATTTTATTTAATTACTTGGTTTCAAACTTTCTACATTTATTTTTAAAATTTTCATAATAAAATGTATAAAATTTTATGATTGATATTGTAAAAATTTGTGACTTAGGTTTCGTTTGGCATGCAACACTTTTAGCTTAAAAATCAAAAAGTTATTAAAAAAAATCAAAAAACCTATAACCCATATCAAAAAGTTAAAATTCTCTTTTCTCTCTACTTTTTGCACACATTTTTATAAAAAACTAAAAAGTTATTCCAAACATACTAATTTTTTTACCCCATATTTTAGCCAAAAAATCAAAAAATTACTAAATAACTGTTCCCAAACGAGGCCTTAGTTATGCCGTTTGAGAAAATAAAGTTGTCACTTGCGAATAAGTTAGTGAGTAGGCATAATTAAAATAATACATGAAAGGAATATTATAACCATAATTCATCATTTATGACCAATAAGGTAATCTCAATATCATAATAATTTATAAAATATTGTTACAAGTAAATACACTGTATTATAATTTCACACATGCACAATATATAGAATTCTGAACATTTAGGGCATGTTCGATTACAAGGATTATAGCATAGGATTGAAATTGTTACTCCATTGACTCACAATCTCATATTTGATTGTAAATTTTATTAATCAAATTACATATACGACAAATTAATCTGACGAAATTGACGAATTTTTAATATTGAGAGGGATTAAGTATCATAATTTCAAGTATGAAAAAAAAAAAATACATAATAAATGATTATCTCACTAATTTATGATATTATTAATCTTGCACTAATTTATAAAATTATTTGACGTGTATAAGTCCATAAAGGCCACGAATCACTATGAACAATCCAAGCCCATCACTTGGAGCCCAATGCATAACCCAGCTGGTGAGGTCCAGGACAGCTGGAGTCCAACATGGCATAAAGAGCTAATGACATTCAGACACACGGCAGGTGAAGGACGAGCCACATCAGCAGACAAAGATCTGCAAAGTTATTGCCACTACACATCACCATTAATGCAGCCTATCACAGCATTTATTATGACAACACCTCTCCGTCGGAACAGGACCCCCTTACCCTGAACAAGGTAAGCTACAGCATAGACTTTCGGCGAGGAGGGCAGGTCGGAAGGGACAGCGAAATGATTACCAAAAGATATAAGCAAACGTTGAAGACAAGAAGAAGGTTAAGCTTTTCTATCTCTAATCTCTCTCTCTACACTCTACTTCTCTCCCTAACTTGCTCGTCGGAGGGTTTACTGGGGGACTATCTAGTTCCCCGTTGAACTTATTTGCAGGTTATCCGGTGGGCTTGATCATTTGGACGTGAGCTTGAGGAGTTTGGACCAGTCTGATCCATTCACTGGAACAAACAGTATCATCATTATTAATTCTTTCACTAGAGTAAAATAGGATAAATAGTTGAATTACTATTCTTTTACAATAATTTTATTTATAATATATTTATAATTATTCTTATAATGAATCAAGAATGAATGGTAAGGGTGTAAACAATATGCACCCTATCCTATCACAAAATTTCATATCAACCATAAAATACATAATTTCTTCATAAATTAACGTAACAAAAAATTACAATATCAATCATAAAATTTTAAGTATTTTATTATGCTAATTTTAAAAATAAATATAGAAAATTGAAATCAAGTAATTAAATAATATTAATACCTTAATAGTGGGTAAATTGTGAAACACTTTTTGTATTGAGAATTATATAGATACTGGATATACATATTTTAAATTCTCTACAAGTAATGCACAAAATCCAAAAGGTTATGTGTAATTAACAAAGTGATGCCTTGTGACTGTACGCCTAAGTGAAAAAATAAAAATAAAAAAAAAATGTCAAAACTGTGCCGTTTGAAGGCACCGTAGTTCCTGTTGGGCCCAAACCCATGTTTGTTTTTAGGTAGGTATGTGTGTGTATGCAAATGCGTGTATTCATGGATTAAAAAGGGCTGCCACTGGCACAATTAGAGGGCATGACAAACATTCTTAGGCCCGTTTGTTTGGGTGCCATCACAGTCTGATGGATGAACACTGCATGTAGCCCATGTTTGTTTTGTTTGGAGCCTCCGGATTTATAGGCCGTTCGGACTAGACTGGGTCTTGGATGACTGGATTTATAGTCCGAACGAAGAGGTGGTATTACAAAAATAGTCCATCGGCTTAATGAGTTGCCAAATGTTCGCCAGAACATTCGGCCAGTCAACCGGTCAGTTGATTTTATTTTATTTTTTTACTTGTGAGGCATTTTTTTTAAACATTAATGTTTAATATTTTTGTATTTTTTTGTTAAGTAAAAATCATAATTTTATTTGTTTTATTATTTTATATAAAAATAATTTAATAATTCTCTCACTATGAAAACAAACACAATTTTATTAATCCCTTCACTATCAATCCCTTCCATTCTACCACTGAAAACAAACGGTACCTTAGTATAGTCTAGATAGATTTTAAAAATTAAAAAATTTGATTCAAAGTTGAAAAAAGATTTAATAATTAAAAACCAAAACAAGTCAAAAAGGTCTAGCTTAAAGGATGCCTTGCATACTAAAGGACAAGAGATGGGCAGAGAGAGAAGCCAACAACTTCAACTTCAATCAAACGTTTTGATGGCACACAAGAGTGGTCCAACAATATAAATTTGTGCTATTCAATGACCCAAACAAACAGCAAAAGAAAGATGTGCGGCGAAGGGAAGTGCTTATCCAAAACAAAAAAATAAATGGAGCAAAATGCTTTGTTGAATTGTAGCTTAACACTCCTGTTTCCTTTTGTGCCACGTGTATGTCCACGCGCATTTACAAGTAAATGAAGTTAAAACCTTAGAGACTGCAATGATCCTGATGTCCCGCATCGGTTAAAGTATGGGGTCGGGCATGTGTATACAACCCCCCGACATTTTGTACCAGAGACATAAAGAAAGTTCAAGTACAATGCCAAAAGTGTTCAATGGCTAGGAAAAGCTCAAACACATTCTACAGTTCAAATGCAAAAGCTTCATGTCAAAAAAATAGTAACCACCTGTGCAAGTTCAAAATATGGTATGAAACCCTAGGCCAGACGGAGTGATAACTTTTTATGCCCACGTGTGTGTTCGAGGATTGTGCACATTTCAACTCCGTGTGTGTGAAACCCTAGGCTAGAAGGAGCTGCAGAGCACCAAAATTATTCAAAGTTGAAGTTTTCACGTATAGTCACAAAGAACACAAGTGCCGTCCCACCTACTTGTGGGGAATCAGATACTCAAAACAAAGAAAACCTAATTGATGTAACAGGTAATTTCAATTGTTAGTTCCTAATTCTAAGGCACTTAAAAGGTCAATAATGCTATTTCTAACTTAAACTTGCAATATTCTAATTGAAAGGATCCAAACTCTACAATCCTTTTGAGGACTGATAGAGACAGCAATGACATGACTTAAATGCAAAAAATTCAATACCAGAATGCTTCACTGGACGAAGCTTTGGCCGACAAAATTTATCTCTTAATGAAGCTGCTGTGGGCTCCATTACAGCTTTGCAACGATCCAAAATTTTAAATTTGAAATGATGCTTGCCAGTTAACACCTACATCAGCTATTAGTGAAGCATAGATCAGACCAACTAAATTTCAAACAAGCCATCTAGTCCCATCTAGTCAACAAAGAAAACGGGGGATGCACAAAAAGAAAACATAACGTTAACCCAAATTGTTGTGAATTTTGACTGTCATATATTGTTACAGCTCAATCCCAAAGAACCTCATATCATGCAACAAAGCTAAAGTCTGAATAATGGCAATTTTCTTACACAACGGAACTATCTCAAATCTCAATTGATCAAAATTCAGAACTAGAAGCACACAAATGAGATAAGAATTCATCCAATAATATCACAACAAAAAAAAGAAAAAAATGTAAGAAAGGAAATCCTACCACCTAAAATAATGGATAAGAGAAATTGGAACCATACTCTTGGCTACCAAAGTTCGTTCTGCCACCTCTTATCTCGGTGTAGCAAAAAAAAATTCAAGAGTCCTTCGCAGCAGAAACTTGTCGAAGTCTGCGTTGATGTACATCCCAGTTGTATATGCGAGCAATTGTGACCTGAACCATGGCAGTGATATGGTTAAAGACCCATCACCAAATACTCAAATCAAGTGAGCTTTCATATGTACAGAAGTGAACAGGCTTGCAACATGTTGGCCCTGTTTGGTGCAACTTTTGGAACTGCTTACAGCTTTTTTTCAAAATTTTTTTTTTTTAATTTGGAAATCTGTGCTAGAGTATTTGGTAATGCAACTTCTACTTATAACTTATGATTCAAAAAAAGATTAAATAAGTTGAAAAAAAGTTGATTATCTGAAAGTTGGGAGAAAGATGCTTTTAGAATCTGCTTTCTAATCATTAGCATTCAGCTAGAGAAAAGTTGGCACCAAATAGACCCTTATAATAACAAGGACTATTTTGGGTCATAACTAAAATGTCGTTATGACACCATATTATGTCATAATCAAAACTCAGAGACAAAACGTTAGTAAGGTTTGCTATGTTGCCTCCATGGCCTCATGGTGCCATAAGCACCAAACGCCTTGGACTGTTGAACTGTTTCTCAAATGAGTTTTTATCCTTTTATTTATTTTATTTATTTAAGAAAGGGAAAAAAAGAGCAAGCTTGTTCATTAGCAAACAATCTTTTAAATCTTCCAACCACAACTCATAAAAAGAGAAACACCAACTATACCTGAGTAATGGTCACTTGATCCCTTAAGAATTGTAGATCTGTAACAAGAACTTCTAAACTAGCTCTAGCATTTTCCAAATTCCTTTGTAGAAGATCAGTGGCCTGCATTTTGAAGTTCGAAGCACTTAAAATCTCGTGTCCATGTGTAAAATGCTAACATCTTAAGATTACAAGTGGGGTACCTCTTCACATGAGTGCTCCAGCATGACATTTGCTCCCAGCCATAAACATACTGAATCAGTATCCTCGATGCGTGCTCGGGAATAGATGCCTTCTGACACTTCAAAATCAGCTAATAATGCCTGCAACCAGAATACGAAAACACATAAATATAGGAATATGTACGATACAATAGGAGGGGCTGAAAAGCATTGGCTTGAAGTTTTTCAACACAAACTAGAAGGTCTGTGTTTGATACCAATACCATAGGTTTTATGTGCATGTGACACAACTGCTACACTTACCCAACATCCATGTGAAAAATTAGAGCCCACCATTATAAAGTTGAATATTCTATTCACCACACATGCATAAACGTGCATCAACTAATGCTCATAAACCCAAGAGAGCTAATGATCCAGTAACAGAAATCATGCTCTTGACCACATTATATCCATCCGTACAAAACCAAAATAAGCAAATAAAACTAACGAGGTTTGCCTTCACACCAGTAAACTGTCATCTCAATTTCAAATCTCAGTTGACAGCTCAGTTATATATAGGTTTACTCAAACTACAGAAATATTTAAAAATTTCTGAAGTTAAAAACGAACCCCACCAGTACCCTTCTTAGCTTGCAAAGTAGCAACTACATCTAAGCACTTCTCAATGTCCGGGATCTTCGCCTAATAACAACAAGAAACAAGAAGAAAGAGTCAAAGTTCTCATGAACATGAACTGAAAAGCAAGCAATATCTGAATCCAAATTTGTCACGTTTAATCATGTCCAAAAATCCTAATTCACAGATGTCAAATCAACATATAAAGGGTAGTTACAGTTTGGAAATCACAAGTTCAGACAAGAACAATTCCAAACAAATACGTAGAGGCTACAACATTATAGTAGATTTTAAAAACCTCACAATTTTATAACATGTAGCCAGAAACCAAATCGAAAGAACCACTTCAAATTAATCTCTGCACTTCAGGAAACTAAACTGAACCCCACTCAACAAAGCCTTGTCCCAAATATCAGTGATCATATATGTGAATCCTATAGCCCAAGTTAGTAAGCCAGACTTAACAGGTCAGAACGCAAATATGCAACCGAGTGATCATGTAATCTGCGCACCAATTTTTTGCAGTACCAGTAACCCCTCCACAAATAGAAACAAAAAAGACAAAAATGTGCAAGTACATGAGATTTATTCCACTCAAACTCTTCTAAATTTATCAAAGCAGTGCAGGACTTGAAGTGATGCACAAGTTCACAGTCTGACACTAGTTTGAATAGTTGTGCATGCATTTTCATTAAGAATTTGCTACAAAGTTTTCTAAGTGCAACTTTGGTGTCTGTGTCCATAGAATAGATCATGCCAAAAACTAGATAAGATGGAAAGGTAAGCAAATCTCTCATTATATTAACTTTTGCATTACATGAAGTATGTAGTCCCTGTTTAATTCCCAAACACAATTCATTTTTTGATATTCAACAATCAGTTTGTCCCAACCATAAGGCACTAACAATTAGTTATGTTTTTAAAGCAATGTCAATGCACAACATATTTGAGTACAGAAGATATTAATAATAATGAAACCTGAAGATCCCTCTGCTGTGCAAGAAGTTTCATCTCAACCAATCTATATTGTTGAAGCCTGAAGAAAAGAACAAAGAAAAAAGAACTACATCACTAGACTAATAAAAATTGACAAAAAGGGTGGGCATCCTTTGAATATGCAAAACAACATGCATCACAATAAGCATCCATATTAACACTCTTGTATTGTGTGGGAGCCTTGCCAAGAGAGCCTCATACAATTATTTGGGGTGCCTACACATCATCTTAAGCCATTATGCCTTATCTAGGGCCACATCTCCATTGTAATAAGTACTAACCTAATGAGTAAGACAAAGATTAATGTTTCTTGTCTTTTAGGCCAAAAGATTCTATCACCAATTTATTTTTAATACCAAACGAGTCCACCATAAAATTTGGAAGAGAGTGCAAGTAAGCCAGAACATAGAATTTATATTATAGTACAATGGCATCAGATTAATTGCAGCTGGTGAGTATTAAACAGCCCAAGTAACTGCAAAAACACATAACGGTGATTGTGACACACATTTGCATTATTTCTTCTACGATGGCATTGCTACATTCTTCCATAATTAAGCAACACGACATGATGAACTAAATGTCTAACTAAATTCATGCTTATGACTAACCAAAATTGCTCGAAAAAGAAAGAAAGAAGAAGACATTTTCATAATGCTTGCAGGAGTCATACAGGGATGTCCAAATACACTTTTAGTCCCTATGAAAAAACATCATGAAAATTTAAAAATAAAAACTAAAGAAGATAAGAGCACCCTTTGAAACCTAAGAATTGCACTGTAATACCAGACATTGAGGATAAGAAAACCCTGTTTTGGATGATTCACACAAGTTTAGACGATTATTGATGGCGTTGACAAAATTTGGAAAGATAAGGACGATCATCTCATGATAAATTATGCTTGAAAGATAATAATGTCTTTAAACTAAAACAGCAAGCACCAACAAAATTGATTGAGACCACAACAATTTTAAGAAGAACATGTCCTCATTTTGCCAAACAAGTCAATATGCAGTATGAACTCATAATATAAGAGTTAAGTAAACAAACAACATAGTAGCAAAGAAGAAAGTAAATCTAAATATCTACAGGATCATCTACCAAAAATAAGAAAGAAATTGCCAAACAAATTATATTATGATAAGTTTCAAAAATAGAAATGATCAAATATAAGTGTTATCAGTGGCAAGGTATGAGGCTGAGATCTGATCCCTGTTCGAAGGTTCTAGGGAAGCATCTGCTTTGAACTTGCAAAGAGTTTGGTTGAGGGAGAACCGGAGGTTGTGGAAGGATAGGTTGCTGTTTGTAAGGAGTAGTAGCTATTTATTGTTTGGGATGGGACTTATCTATTCCATAGTTTAAAAGAATAGAACCTTCTTGCCGATACTTCTTCCGGGATTTCATCAATTGCAATTGCTTCTATTCATGTTCCAAAAGACAAGATTGTTTAGACCAAATGAGACAAAAACTTTATTATATTTTATCTTTTCCTTTTAAGTAAATCATTGGAAACACTAAAACTCCATTGATCATAATTTTTTTTTTTTCCCCCCACCTAATTAATCAGTGCAATAGAGCAATACATTATTATTCAAGTGTAGATATTAATTGACGCCCTAATTTTAGATGTTAGATTTAACATAAATATGTTCAGTACTTGACTTTGTCATAAAAAAGATTACATCTTTTGTATCTCCTACAGTGAATTGATACAAAATCCAATACCCAATTTGACAACTATAATTACAAATTAATTCAGTTTTTGTTTTGATTCGTTTGCTTGTTTTGAACTTTGTGAAATGGGAAGACTATGAAGCTCAAAAAGTTAAGGATTTATGCGCAAACTAACGTAAGCTTAATTGCGGAAAGAATTTGAGACCTAGAAAACCTCAAGATGCCATTTTTTGTTTTAAACATCCATTATATTCAGAAATTGACCTAAACCAAACCAAACAAAACAAAACCAAACCAAACCAAGCCTTAAGTCACATCAAATGGGGTTGGCTATATGAATCCTTCTTCTCCATGAGGCCCTATCAAAGGCCATTTCATTAATCAAATTAAATAGATTCATATCTTTATTTACAACACTAGCCAACGTTAATCTAGGCCTACCCCGTTCCCTAACACTTCCATCTACCGTTATAGCATCTCATCTCTTCACTACTACCTCTGTTGGTCTCCGTTGAATATGACCAAACCATCTCAATCGATTCTCTCTCAACTTATCTTTTATTGGTGTTACTCCTACCCATTCTCGAATACACTCATTCCTAATTCTGTCCTGTCTTGTCTAGTCTTATCACACATCCACCTTAGCATTCTCATCTTAGCCACACTCATCTTATCTATATGTTGTTTCTTGGTTGCCTAACACTTCGTCCCATACAACATTGCTGGTCTAATAGCCGTTCTATAGAACTTACCTTTTAGTCTAGTGGGTATTCGTTTATCGCACAATACCTCAGACGCATTTCTTCACTTAGACCATCCCACCTTAATCCTATGGGCCACATCTATATCAATCTCCCCCGCTGTTGTGATAATCGACCCTAAATAACGAAAATGTTCACTCTTAGGCAGTTCTTGGTTCTCAATTTTCACTTTTCCTCTATTTTCATTGTTACTATTACTAAATTTACACCCTATGTACTCTGTCTTAGTTCTGCTTATTCGGAATCTTTTATATTCAAGAGCTTTTCTTCAAATCTCCAACTTTGTGTTAACTCCTTCTCTAGTCTCATCCACTAGCACTATATTGTCTGCAAAAAACATGTATCATAGCACGTCATCCTGAATATTTATTGTCAACTCATCCATAACTAAAGGAAAAAAATAAGGACTTAAGATAGATCCTTGGTGTAACCCTACAGTGATAGGAAATTCATTTGTCTCTCAGCTGGCGATCTAATAGTGGTCACCACTCCTTTATACATGTCCCTAATCACATCAATGTAACCTTTTGTCATCCCTTTCTTCTCTAACACCCACCATATTATATCTCGGGACATTCTATCATATGCTTTCTCAAGGTCGATAAACACCATATGAATGTCTCTGTTCTTTTCTTTATACTTTTCTATTACTCTCCTTAAAAGATAGATTGCTTCCATTGTTGACCTGCCAGGCATAAACCTAAATTGATTCTCTGACACCTCAGTTATATCTCGCAATTGGCGTTCCATCACGTTCTTTCACACTTTCATTATATGACATATTAGCTTGATTCCTCTATAGTTGTGGCAATTCTGGACATCACCTTTATTTTTATAGATTGACACTAAAATTCTCTTCCTCCACTCATCTGACATATTCCTAGTCAACAAAATTTTGCTAAACAACCTAGTCAACCAAGCACCTCATTTTTTACCAAAACACTTCCAACCTTCAATAGGGATATCATCGGGTCCTAAAGCCTTATTTGATTTCATCTTCTTAAATGTAATCTCCACTTCAAAGTTCCTAATCCTGCGATAGAACTTAGTCTTGGTTTATCGTATTACTGGCAATTTCTTCCCCTATAGTTGTACCTCCATATTCCTCATTTAATAGTTTTTCAAAATAATTCTTCCATCTTTCCTTAATTTCTTCATCCTTCACCAATACCTTAGAATCCTCACTCTTGATGTACTTAATTTGATTAAAATCTTCTGTTTTCTTCTCCCGTATCTTAGCAAATTTATATACCCTCTTCTCTCCCTCCTTACTATCTAGTCTAGCGTATAGGTCATCATAAACTTTCAACTTAGCCTCTTTCACTACTTTCTTTACGTCCTTATTAGCCAATCTATAGCTTTTAAGATTTTTCTTAGTTCTATCTTTCTGCTACTTTTTAAAGCACTTTTTTTTTGCCTTAACTACCGCTTGAACCTCTTCCCTCCACCACCAAGTTTCCCTAGAGTTAGGTCCCGTTCCTTTAGACTCTCCAAACACTTCCCCTGAGATTCTCCTCATACAATTGGTCATCGAGTTCCACATAGTGTTAACATCATCTTCCAAGTCCCAAGTACCTTCCTTACCCATTCGATTCTTAAATATTTCTAGTTTCTCCCCTTTTAGGTCCCACCATCTCGTCCTACGACACCCACCATCCTTACGACACCCACCATCCTTCCTAGCTTGGTGTTGCCCTCTAAAACATAAATCTAGTACCAAAATCCTATGAAACTTTAATCCAATTTCAAGGTTTGCTCACAAGCCCTTTTTAGCTTTTTGGCATATCGCAAATGTTCTAAATAATGGAATCAAAAAGGGTCTACCTGAACTTCAGCTCATCCCAAAGACAGCATTTTTTTACTTACATCATCAGAGAGTGACAGCTGAAGTTGTTTATACGTCACAAGTATGAGCATATATAATTTGGGGACTGGAACAACATACATGTAAGAGAGTAGCTTTCAAATCTAATCCACAAGATTTGATTATATACACTAATTGCAATAAGATCAGGCTTATTTAAGATAATGAAACGAAAGTAACTAAAGCTGAAAAAAAAGATACATTGAGGATGGATACTAAAACCTCCAATAAAACCCACATGGATTTTGATCTGGGTTTCTCAAATAATGAAATGGGTATATACAGGCATATGCATACATATATATATATATATAGACATAGAGAGAGAGAGAGAGAGAAAGAGAGAGAGAGAGAGAGACCTTTCTTGGAGGAAAGAGAGGGAAGAGTTGACATCGAGACCTAATTGGGAGAGATAGGTCTGGACATCTTCCACGAAAGCAGCCGCAGGTAAACAAATGCCCCTTCTCTCTGTAACCCCACTTGATGACGATGAAGAAGACGACATTGCCATAGCCATTTTTCCACAGAGAGAGAAAGAGGGAGAGAGAGAGAGAGAGAGAGAGAAATTTGCTTCTAGAAGAGGTTTTCGGCCGGAGTTAGGGAAGAGAGGTCAATTTTGGGCTAAGAATCCAACAAACCCAATCTCTATGAGCTGGTTAGTTTAATTGGGTCGGTTTTGGACTAAAAATTGGGTTAATTTTAAGCCAAGAAACTAACAACCCAAGCTCTATATGGGTTGGGTTGGGTTGGGTTGGGTTGGGTGGATTTGATTCTATGGTTGGGGTTATGCTAAATCAATTTAACTTCCCAAACTTGAGTATACGTGAAATTTCATAATTTTATTGTATTGAAATTGTGAAAATTTATTTTAAAATATAATTTGAGAAATTTCTACTACAAAATGCCTCAATGTTGTATTCAATTATTATTATTGAATATAGGTTCTTCTTCTTCTTCTTCTTCTTCTTTTTTCTCTGTATGTGTGCGATAAATCTCTTTAAGTAGAGTTTAAATATAAATTTTATGGAAAATGAATTTATAGAACAAAAGTTATAGAATTAATTTTTTTTTTTTTAAAAAAAGAGAGGAATAAAAAAAACCTCCAACGGTTAAAAGCCATAAAAATAAATGATTCCACAATACGATAAAGAATTCCACACTAAAGAATTGCTGTATAAATTCAAAATTTTACCCACAACCATGCAATATGAAGATCACGAGACAACTATAAAGAATTTGAAATTTGATACAATAATATTTTAGATTCCCATTGGCACAAACTCACACAAACACCAAACCCTTCATGAACCTTTTTTTACTGCAATGGTAAGTCATATTGGTTTGCAGCTAGCTTATAATGTGCAACAAGCAAAAATAAATCCCATTTCACTCTGTACACTAGATTGTGTTTGGATCAAAAATTTATAATAAAAAAGGTAGATAGATTTGTCTTTTCTTTTCCCTGTCTCCTTTATAAATTCATGATCCAAGCAGTTTAAAATTACAATGACAATCAAGACGAAAAATGTATGAATGCTATGAAACAAATTAATTTGTTTTAATCCAACCGATTAATCATCGGTTTCAGATAATAACTTAACCATCATCTGCATCACCTTCACTTTCATTTGCAAACACACGATGTAATCAGCTGTCTCTTTGAAAAGCCCATCCAAGCCCTTGGACCTCCTATTTTGAACAAGCTTTTTGAGGGTTCTAAGCCTTTTCTTAATCCCATTCATGGGTCTTCTAGACCTCCTCTTCATCATCAAGATCCTCCTATTGGTTTCCCTCTCTTGCCTTTGCAAGATTTGAGCTTCCAAAACTACTTCTCTTCAAAGTGAACCATTAAAATCTCGAATTCTCTTCATATCAAAGGCAAGGAGTGACTATGGAGAAGCTCCAATGGCTTCAAGTAAGACCTATGCCTCTTGAACTCTTTGCCAAAAAAAGGATCATGAATAGTACAAGTGGATGTATGAGGGCATAAGAGTTATTTATATGTTGTTGGAAAAATACTGACGCTGAATTAATGCCGTGGATCCAGTGATAATATGAGAGCTATTGTGGAGTAGACATCAAGAGTAGTCGAATGTCATTGGTTGAGGATAACATGGGATAGATGAAAATGGGCCCACACAAAGGTTTATCCAAGCATTCCAAGGGTGGCATGAATGAATGTGGTGAGACCCAAGTGTCTCTTGGGCTTTGCTTCTTGTTTTGGCATGTTTGCACATGCTCTCACATGGTTCCTCAATACCCACCATGCTAGACCTTCCTTTGCCCTAAACACCATCAAAACACCCTGTATTATTCCTTTCTTTCCTTCCAAATCCAATGAATATTCAATGCATAGTAGGGTTTTTGAATCAAGCCTATTTTACCTCAATCATTGGCAACATCTAGGGTTCATATTCCTTGTTTCCTCTTTGGTGGCCTCATGATAATAGACAAGAATTTTATGAAACTTGAGGCTGCAAGTTTGTGCTAATTAAAAAATGGAAGAATATTAAAAATTAAATAAATTCTATTAAAAATTCACGAATGGCAAGAAATTATTTGGTAAGTCTAATTTAGTAGATGATCGTTTGTCCACCCAACACAATAGAGGGATATATGATATGACCATTTTATTTTTAAAAAAAAGTAGGCAAAGTGATCATGTGACTCCTTACTATTAGGAGGGCTTACTATGTGTACAAGAAGTCCAACCTATTCGATAATTTCTCACTGCCGACTTATTATATATGTCCATTACAAAGATTATGCAAATCATGTTCTAACATGTCTGGTTCAATGTGTATACATGTCTAAGCTTATGATTAAGGAGAACACTATCTATATGAAAATTGGTGCTAATTTAAAATTTTACTTTTTGGTGGATTATAGGCCAATCCCACAACCAAATAGGCATATAGTCATGAGTCATGACAGCTAGGGCACATGGATCATCCAAACAATCTCAGCATGTCAATGGGTTATGATTCATGCCTTTAGCGAAGCAATGATTCCATAAGTGTTGTTTTGTTGTCTAAACTATGATCTTGGTTTAGTTTGTAAGAATAAAGAGGTAAATAATGGAATAATTATTCATTAGTCTCAAAGTACCAGTTCAACATGTTGACATGTGCAATCATATTAAAAAGAACAGTAATTTTGAGATGGATAAGAGTGAATCTGACCTACCTCAGTCAGTTAATTGGATGAGAAAAAAAATTATCCTCCCAAACCACACTTCCATACCCATGGAAATTGTCAAGTTGTACCACAAATTAGACATGATTAGTATATACAGTGAGATCTATCACTTTATTTTAATATTTAAGAGATAATAGCAAGAGATGATAATCGATAATGATAATCACGTGGTGTCCATGAACAATAAATAATTTTTTAGTGTTGGGCTTGGTTATGCTTGGAGTGTAGTTTACATAAAAATACATGGCCCAGCACAAGCATTCACGTTGCCCTAAAACAAAAAACCAAAAGATATGTGCTTTTAAATAGGCCATGACACTAATTGATTTTTCATTTTTCTTTTTGGTAACCACAAAATCTATAATTCAGTAGGCTTCACTTCAATTAGATTATATGATCATCTTAATTATACCAAACAAACAAAGACTATAGTCTTGCTTTGATGGAGGCCTACCAAGTCACAGGCCAAAAGCATAGCCTAGGAAAAAAGAGAAAATTTAAAGAAAAGATAACAAACAACATGGATTTAAATCTTATCTCAATCATAAATAAATAAATAAAAGAAGAAGACAAAAGAACGAAACAAAAGATTGGTTGTTCTTTGGCTGACATTTCATTAGGGACCCCTTGATATAAAGGGAAAAAAAAATATTTAGTAAATCTGGCATGATAAGTTACTCTAATAACAGAATGATACATAACCATCTTATTATTATTTTTCAAATAAGATGATCATGTATTCCCAAATTATTAAGCAAGCATGAGAGAGAGAGAGAGAGAGAGAGAGAGAGAGAGAGAGAGAGAGAGAGAGAGAGAGAGACTTTGTATTCAATACCCAATAGAGATTTTAGTTTTAATTGAAGTGTGCTTCATCAATCCCATCATTATTGGAAAATGACTCCAAATGTTGATGAGTATGGAAGAGGTTAAGTGGTTAGCATCTCATAAAGTGCACACCAAATGGGATTAGAGATCATAGATGTTCACCCAAAAAAAATGTTATGAGACATAATCCTTTGATTTGATTATTATCAATAAAAATTTTCTTTTGCCAATCAAAAATAAATAAATAATTGTGGGTTGTCTAAGGCAGTTGTGAGTAGCATCCTAAAAAATCCTTCTATAGGCTTAGTTATATTAGCACCATATAAAGAACAGTAAAAGCTAAGCAACCAACTAAATAGGTTGCCCAAAATCAATTTTGACAAGCCTAATTGCACCTACCTAAAGCAAGTTGCAAGGGAGAAAAAATAAGCCTTTTATAAAGCATAGTATAAATATAGACTATGCTCTAATGCATAAAGAGATCAGCTATATATATGTATCTTATAGCAATACAGGCTACAAGCATTGAGGACTACATGGTGTGGAGGAAATCAAATTGATTGGAGGCACAATTTAATTTAATTTTTTTAAAATTTTTATATTTAAGATTTAAAAAATAAAAACTAGTAGTTGGATACCAGGGTATCAAGCTTGATGCAACTTCTCATTTCCTAGAGACTTCATATCATGTCGTTCTTGGATCCTAAATATATTCAATGACATGTATGAGAGAACATGTAATTTGGTCACTAAAAACAGTTAATGTTGTTGTGTCATCCCTACAACCCTACCCCAATATATCAGAAGGAATTGGGTAGTAATTGTTTCATTGTTTGTCTTGTGTTGGCTCTCTAACAGGGGAGACAAATTAAAGCAACATACAAAAACAATGGAACTTTCATTATTGTTGGTACACTAACAGTATATTGAATTTTAACTATTGGGTCCCTCATATTATTGTTCTCTCTACAACTTTAATGCTGTGTTTGGTTGAGCGATTTGGGGAGGGATTTGGAAAGGGAAATGAAAAAGGTAAGTGAAATATGAATAAATCATGCCTATATTTCACATAGTTTCACACACCTTTTTCCTTTCCCTTTCCAAATCTCTCCTCAAATCCTCCAACCAAACACAGCATAAGAGTTTAGTCATCAACAATGGAAAATCTACAATATATAAAAAAATTGTCCAAAAAATTCTTAGAATTGAAGTCTATGGTAAAATTCAAATTTGATATGGTATGGGTCACACTCAAACAAATATGATCCAAATATATTTCATTTTTCTAAATTTTTTTCAAAGTTCATAACATTGTTGCACCAAACCAACAAGGAGCCTGTAATAGTGAACTTTTTTCTTTATTAGTGAGAAAAAAAAATGAAAAAGGAAGAAGATATATATAATGTGGTGGGGCATGTCCATTAGATAGTAATATGGAAAAGAAAAATGGTTATTTATGTCCCTTCCTAGAAAACTATATGGAGTAATTCAAATTCTTAATTGTAATCAATTTCTATTTAAAATTGATAATCATATGGTTTTTGTTAGGACAATTAATCGTAAATGAACAAAAATACTCTTGAAATAACTATACCATTGAATAGTGTTGGATACTTTTATCCATTCACGTTTTTATTCTGGAAGTGGTGACAACGAATCTAAGATGCATATCGATTACATATGAATTTCATCCTTAAATTACTTTGTGGGTGACCCCATATAGGTGAGTTAGGGTTAGCACTTAGAAATCTGCATGTATAACCTTTTCTTTTTGCTCCTTTCCTTTCTTTTTAGGGAGGCTAATGGACAAGCCATCACCCCTCCCATGTGGCCTAGAAAAACTTTAGCTTAATTTTGGAGATTTTAAAATTGAATGCTGTTTTCTTTTCTTGACCTTTGTTGTAGTCACATGGTGCAAGACTATACTGTTACATAGAAAAAAAAGGTCTAAAAAAAATTTAGAATTCGATTTTGTTTACTTTAATAATTATAACAGTGGAATCCGTTATTTTAAATGTGGGGAAATTATTCAATATTTTCAGAATATTACGTGTCCGTATTTTTTAACCAATCACAATGAAAGATTTTGTTCACATCTGTCGGTTAGATAAACAAAATTAATTTGACAAAGTCGGGAGACTTATATATTAGGTTGCTTAAAGGTGGCAAAAAGTTGAGTTGAAATACCTTTTGTGTGTGAGCTTGCCAGGACATGTCACATGTGACTACTCCTTTCCCCCCTCAGATGTGTGTAATCATGTTGTCAAAATACGTGCCACATCAGCACCCTTAGATTTGTTTTTTGTTTTTGTTTTTGTTTTTTTTTGATGACCTTGTTATTAGAATAATCCTCACCGTTGATCAAGCAAATTTTAGTGAATAAACATAATTTTTCTACTCAAGATTCAGATTCTATGGTGAATCTTAGAATGGTAATTTTGTCCATTCACTATTAATTGTTCTAGATCCCATTAATAGAGCCACTTTTTATTTTTTTCGTTAAGGATAGCAAGCCTAGAGGGTAATAAGAGAAAATAAAAAAACAAGATTTTTTTTTCTTTTTCTTTTTTTCTTTTCACGTAGGTAATACTATAAGTTTTACTATTAGTGCATCAATTGAATTTCTTAAATTTAATTAAGGACGGTACAGATGACAAGTCCTATTTGATTTTTAAAACATCTTTCACTCTTATCTTGATACAAATTCATGCCTAGTGTTCTATTTAGGATTTGTCTAAATATGAAATTTCTTGCTCCAATACTTACATGAATAGATTGGATACTTTGAATTGGTTCTTTCTTGTTTTTGTTATAATTAAGTTAGCTTAATCCATTCAAATGAATGAGAGAGAGTGAGAGACTTAATCCATTCAAATGAGAGAGAGAGAGAGAGAGAGAGAGAGAGAGGGGCAACCCATTGCTTTCAAAGTGATAACCACATAATTACCTAAAACTCTTATTGAAGCTTTAAGTGGTTATTTTTAATCTTTATCATTATGGAAGAATACAACAGGCACAAACTATATTGATGTGTTACATTACCAAACAACCACTATAAAAGCACATATAAACCACTTAATTATAATAAGGTATATTTGACAAGTTATGATTTGATGCTTTGTGTGGAACCCACAATTCTTTCAACTTTATTAATT